AATTATCAAAAGCACAGAGAGGCCAACAAGTCCCAAAGAGCACTTATGCTGCCTTCAGAGAATGGAGTGGAAGGACTCTTACGCAAAACATTGGATGAGCTCTGCCCGACGGGGCAGGAGAAACTTTCCCAGGATGCTGGACGTTTCTCTGAAGGGAGCATGTCTGATACTCTGGACAAGTGGAGAAGCTGTGTCTATCTAGCTGTAAGAGTATTTGCAGGGACTAAGTTAAATCCACACCCTAGAAATGGCTCTCCCCTTTCTCCCACACTGCAGTCTTCCCTACTAGTCTGCAACAGTCTGTGACCATTGACCACACCCCTGACTATTAATCTGCTCTCTTACCTGTATGGTTCTGGGTCCCCACACAAGAAGCAAGAAACAGCATGACTTAGAATCCTTCACATGGAGAAAGCTAAAAGCACATCCCTGGATAGTGTTTTATAAGCAACATCTTCATATATTAAGAACACAGTTTACTGAGACAAAAAGTGAGCAATAAAATTAGAAGGGCCTTCACCTCAACCATTTCATGACATGAAGTAATCAGATGCTCAATTTACAGCTTGGTTCATCTTTGTTTCCTTCCACACAAACTCTTACCTTTGGCATCTCTCAAAGAGTATCAGTATTAGAGGAAAAAAATACCTTGAGTAATTTTTAAAACCCCGTATGTGTCTGCTACACAAAATCCCACCGATATTAAGAATATGTTTGACATAGGTTTAGACACACAAATTTAATCTAAGAACATAAGCCATCTAATCTATTTGTTAATTTTTTATTTAACTCTTAATTTACGAATTTAACTTTATGGGTGAGTACACTAAATAAACATTATTTAACGCTCCAGGAGGAAGGCACTTACTCAACTTAAAACATTGTATTACAACAAATGTGGAGTAATGTTATATGTATTATTTGCCAACATTCAGCCTTCTGGAACATTGGTACCACATACAGCAAACTCATTTGTTTAAAATCTGTTCATGGTAAAATTGTGATCTTCATAAAATTCTTGCCAAACAAGGTTATGCCCTGTTTGAATGGATAGCTTCTGGATGCAGTTAAAGATCTTTTTTACCCATATGATAACAATCTCAGCTGGTTAAAACAAATTCTAAAATAAAATATTTTGTATTTTTACCAACTTTAAAAGGCAAAAAACCGTACATTTTGGATTTTTTAATTACAAGAATTCTGAAAGAGCTATGTTGTACAAGGAAAATTTTTATTTATTTTTATTTTTTTATTGTATTTTATTGTTCCTGCTCTTACAGTTGTCCTGGTTTTTTCTCCATCTGTCCCTCTGCACCCATTCCCCCGCCCCTTGGGCAGTCCCCACATTGCCCGTGTCCATGGGTCTTGCATATATGCTCTTCAGCCAATCCCTTCACTTTCTTTTGTAAAAGGAAATTTTTAATTGACATTATCAATCAGCAGTATTAGAATTTTTCAGATATTTATATCTTGATAACTAAAAATGGAAGCTAAGCCCTATAAATATATATCATATCTGAATATTCTGCTGTAAAATATATGAATAAGAGCCTTTTCAAATACTATATAAACTGGACTTAAATATAAATGACACCCTATTGAAGTTAAAGTTAAATTAATATTTATGCTATTAGGAGGATATTCTTAAATACTTTTGATTTCAATAGAAAGTAAACAAATAATATTTCAAGTAATCAAAGAAATTCACATTTCTTTTTAAAGGTTAGGTGATATAAATTGCTTTATAAATGCAACCAAACTATTTTTAAAAAGCTTTTAGCAGAATATCATTGAGTACTTTAAATTATATCAAAACGCACATTGCAAGTTGCCAAGTTTGTGATGGAAACCATTCCTATATGCAACATAAGATATAATCTTACTCATTTCCAAAACATTTAACTTCTGTCTTTCACGTAATAATCTAAAAGTTGGCCATATCAAAGAAAACCTGTGAGACTTCTGAGTCTGCTCTTCTGTTTCTATTACAAATATAAATCTATTATGTGAGAACCTTTTTTTAGATGAAGGAAGGAGGAAGGGGACACAAAATTTTATTCATAATTTCTTTGTTGGATAAAGTATTCTTCCAAAAAAAAAAAAAAAAAAAAGGAGGAGGACATGAGTCCCCATATCAAGCTTCTAAGATTTAGTAATGTTTGATTTAAGAGTTTGTTATAGTTTTTAGTTAGATATGTTTTATTTTAAAAGGCAAATTATTTTGTTTAAGAAGCCTATTTTCTGTAGATGTATTAGCTAAGGGGAGGAAATAACCAAGCAAACATGAACAACACCCACACGTAAGAGCTCTGTTAGAATGGTAGTGTCAAAGCCAGAAGAAGTCAGTATTATCAGAGCTCTTGATTTTATTTACCAAGGAGCAAGAATCCAGCACTCCAGCACAAATATAAATGCAAAACTAATAGTGTTGGGATTCTCTATTCCCTTTTTTTACTTCCATATTGACATTAATTGAACCCCTACAGTTCAGACCCATCTTCCATGAACTTTTTCTCCATGCAATCTTTAGTTACAATGAATGATACACTGTGAATCAAATAAAGAGTAAAGTAAGAGTAATACAAGCAACCAATTTGTGAAAAAAAAAAAAACTGGTCAATTTGATACACACTAAAGTCATTATTCTAAATCCAATACATAACAATAACTTCCTAGGTTTTAAATGCACTTGTAATAATTTTATCAACATGAGTATTTTTTTCATAAATTTATACATACCAACATGACAGAATAATTTTTAGAAATTTTACATTAAATTACACTTTCTTAAAGCCTATTCCATGAATTATTATTCAAAGTCATAAAAATAAAAATTTTATATTTTTTTCATAGCCTTATTCTGTTCTATTCCACAAATCTAAGTACCAAATGCTGAAGTCCAGGAAGCGTTGAGTCAGATGGTCTTTACAAAATTAGGTTATATAAAGCATCACTATCAAATACAAAGTGATAAAACAAAGTGTTCTTAAATGCCTTTTAAAATGTTCCAAACCAGCACCATGATTTTTGCATAACCTTTGAATTTAGGGGTTCCTGAGACAACAACAAAGAAATTTCAAATGGAATTTTAGTTTTTTTGAGTATGGAGACACTGGATTTCACTTTAATTTTCATAGAAATATACTGTATCTTTGAACAAGGTCATATATATTATATACATCACTGTGCCTTTGAACAAAGTCATATATACTATATAGCGATTTAATTTAGATAATATTGACCAGATTTATTGCTATTAAAAAACAAAGAGCATTTATATATCACAACAAACAATGCATCTCTCAGTGAAACAAAACCTAGTAAAAATTAGAAATAAAAAAGAGAAAGGAAAGAAAAAAACAGAAGAAGAAAGGGTGAAAGGAGGATCAGTAAATATTTTTAAATGGCATTTAAGAGGCAGAAAAAGAAAAGAATACTAAAACATCCAAATGATGACATTTCGGTAAAGATAAAATCCTGGAATAAATATTTCTCAGATTCAAATACTGAAATATTAACATATAGAAAATTATGCAAATAAACAGGCAAAAAAAAAGCCTGCATTACAATTATTACTTACACACATACTCTCTCTTCCTTCCCTCTTTCCCCCTACATTCATGCACATCTATACTGAAACCAGTTTGGGAAGAAGTATTAAAAAGACAACCTATCCACTTTGTATAGTTCTTAAAAGAAATATATATCAAAATTTTTAAATAAATAAAAATTCATAATTATATCAAGTTGTACATTTTGAAGTTGCCTAACACTCAAACAAATTTAAGTGTGGATTCAGATTCAAGGACAATCACATTTATTTCATTTTCAGGTAACACATATTTTATCCCACGTGCACCAAACATATTAGAAATGTGCAGAACCCAAATTTAAACCCCTTCACACAGCAAGTCAGATTAATGCCTCAAAGCACCTTTCAACTGGGGAGTTGCCAGTGAAAATTCATCACACTTTAAAATAATGCAACGTTACGGTTAAACTTAAGCTTTCTGATGTCACAATACATGTGGCATTCTACAACAAGTTTTTTTTTCCTTCTGCCCAGACTTAGTGGAGCAAGAACAAGCAGGCTTTTGAATCAGTGCTGCACTTGAAGTATTTGCTTGCTTGGGAGATTTATACCGACTGTAGTTTGGCTCTCTTATGATGTAATTCCTGGGCTATAAGCTTCTACAAACTGACAGAAATAACAGGAGATGTGAAAAATGCAACAATACTAAAAACAGATGTTGGTGTAAAATTCCAGTTCCATTTATTTGCTCATTTCACCTTTTAATGTACAATTTCAAAGCTAAAAAAGGGTGGTTTTTTTTTTTAACTCTTAAAATACCTAGAACCATGAAACACTTAAAAGACATGAAGTAGGAAATTTATGGGATGGGGACTTAAGAGACGTGGGTTGTAAATAGAAGCTGAAAGAAAGGTGGATTGATAGGAAAAAAAAAATCCACCTAAATCCACACTATCTTTTTCAGTAATCGTACATCATTTTTTTTTCTTACCCTTATTTTAATTTAGGCTGGTAATAACTCCAAACAGACAAGTTAAAGGTCAAAGTTACTAAGATTTCTGGATAAGCAAGGAACTAAGAGAAAGAACAATTAATTGTTCTTAGGCACAATTGCTTTTGTTTCCAAGAATGTGGTGAATTTTTCCCCTTAACCTTTACCAAGAAATATCTCACCCAAACCTCCTCATTTATAGAAATAAAATACCTAAATTTAAAAGTCAAGAGAGCAGTAGTTATTAGTTCTTTTCTTAAAGAGTCATGAGTTTATTTTAAATAACTCCTAAACCCCTTTTGTTAAAATATTCACTTAAATTTTGAATTTCTAATATTTTAGTTTCTAACTTGTGAAATAATGACCCAAAAACTTTCACAAGGTAACATGACCTGTTGTTCTACTACAAATACCTGCTTTAATAATCAAAAATAAACACCAAGATTTGGTACTCCGCATTCTTATTAACACACTTACATGATTTCCTGTTGGAAACTTTCAGCGGCTGAACTATTATTTCTGGTCGTCTCAGAGCCAGTCTCCTGGGGAAAAAGGTCAATATGCCTATCAATTTTCAGTACAGACTCAAGATTAATATAAAACCAAAATATTAAAAGTCTTGAGAAAAAAGCTGGAAAGTTATTCAAATTAAGAAATAAATCATCTACTTTCAAATTTTTCTGAATTCTCTCCACCCAAAAATCACTCTTCTTTTTTGCCATCTTTCAGACAAACATCAATACAGTTTCAGATATTAATGTGCTATTTTCCATTTGTTTCACAGCAAAAACCAAATACGACCTGGTACTGTCATATTATTTTTTGGTTATTATTCATACTTAGTTAGATAAAACAGAAATCCAGACCTAAAGGAAAAAGGACGTGAGGGCAAGGTTTTGGTGCTTATTTTATCACCACTGTGCTGAAGTGATATTTCGCAGAGAACAAAAGGTCAGCTGAAGAAAGGCCATCTTTACGTGCCAGGAGCTCACCTTTCCTGGAAGTGCTTTGAAGGAATCAAGCCTGCCCTGGGATTGGCATCACCTTCATGCTTCGCCTGCCACCAGGTTGCATCATCTTGGCTCATAATCTGGAGAATATCTCCCTTTTTGAAAGAAAGCCCAGCTTCCTTACATGGAATTGCTTTATCCTCATTAGGGTCATAGTCAAAGAGGGCTTTAATAAATACCTAGAGAAAAAATTGACTTAAAATGAATACATATAGAAATATATAAAATGGCCAACGATCTTCTAACTCAGATTTAAAAACAATTTTTTCAAATGGAATATTAAAATAAACTTGCCATAACAAAGGGGGTATGTATTAGATGAAAAAACATCAGACCTTCCCCCCAACAAAAATACGATTTTAAGGTAATGATTACCTTGCCTTCTTTAGATGGTGTCTCCTCTTTGATGCTGGGTATGATCTTAAATGTAATTGCTCCCTGAGACTGAGCCTGATCTCAGAGGAAAGAAAGAGTTATAAGAAAACTTCTACAGCCAAGGAGAAAGAAGATAAAACAGGTAGAACACTAAATGCATCAGGAAATTTACAAGCTTGGGGTTTCTACCCTTACGATAGATCAAACTAAGAAACCTATTTTTTTAGAAATTCCTGTAACATGAGAAAGCACTGAAGTTTGTCAAATAAGTTAAAAAACATCAACCACTAAATCCACTTTTACCTCCTGTGCACTTTTAAAATGCCGAGGAATATATTACCATCCCTGTCGAGTTACTTATGCACAGTGTCTTAAACAGACAATTGTAAATATGGAGAACAGATAAGTTGCAAGGCTCAGACTATTACATTTGCATCCATGTTTTTAGAAACTACAATAGCTATATGGTCAGGAATGCTGTTATAACTATGTAATTCAATTAGTTGCAATGCTCATCAGAAAAAACAGTAAAGAACATTCATCTCTTATATTCTATTAGTGAGTAAAATACCAAATGTAATAAATTAATTAAAAGATGAAGAGATTGAATATTGATTCAAATTTAGTTAAAACAAGCAGTAATACCCACAAGTCTTTGCTATCTCAAACAAGAACAGGTCTCCCTTTAATGTCATTCTCTATTTCTCTCCCTTTTTAGTATTTATCATAATCATATCTAAATAATTATTTATACAATTATGTCTTAATATCTATTATCTCTGCTAATTGTAAACTCCATAAAAGCAGAAAATATCTGGCATGTGTCTAAGAGGAATGAGGAAGGGAAGAAGAGGAAGGCAGGGAGACCAGCAGACAGGGAAGGAAGGAGAAAGGGGAGAATGGCTAGGTTTCTCTGAGGCTCACCGTCAACAGTGTGCTGGTAAACCAGGACTCTATTAAAAAAGGCGTTGATTTGTTTTGTTTGCCAATTTTCATGGTACAAATATTCCTGCCATGGCCAGTTTCAATTTACAGTGTGAAGCCACCGCAAGCCATGCTTGGGAGAGTTGCATAGAATCAGCTCTTAAAAACCAGAGGAGGAGCTCCAGCACAGCACAGAGACTCAAGTAAAACGGGGCTTTACCTGTATAATTAGAGTTTTATAAAAGAGTGACTTCAAAATGGTGATATCGTTGTTCTGCTTATCATAAAGTAATTCACAAATCATTTTTTTAATCCTCACTCGAGGATATGTTTTTATTGCTCTTAGACAGGAAGGGAGAAAGAGAAACATCAATCGGTTGCCTCCTATACATGCCCTGACCTGGGACTGAACCCACAAACTAGGTATGTACCTGATCAGGAAATGAACCTGCAACCTTTTTGGTGTGTGGGATGATTCTTCAACCAGCTGAGCCACCCGGCCAGGGCATAGTTCACAAATCTTATTAAGAATTCATATAATACTGAGTTGCACAGAAAGAAAGCAAAAGTCTTCTCTATAATCCCTTCACATTCTTCTTGTTTGTGTGTGTTTTTAATGTATGTAAAGCCCTTAGAACAATGCCATTTAGGGCTCAATCAGTATAAGCAATTATTAGTATTACCATCACTGTGGAGTCATATAGGTCTATCAGCCATTGTGACTATCTCACAGTAATCCATCATGTAGATGAAAGACTGATTATTCAATAATGTGACCTTTTTTTTTAAGATTATATTTATTTATTTTTAGAGAGGGGAAGGGAGGGAGAAAGAGAGGGAGAGACACATCAATGTGCCGTTGTATTTCGCGCACTCTCTGCTGGGCACCTGGTCTGCAACATAGGCCTGTGCCCTACACTGGGAATCGAACTGGTGACCCTTTGGTTCACAGGCCAGCACTCAATCCAGTGAGCCACACCAGCTAGGGCAATAATGGAACCTTCTTAGTAGTTCCTAAATATTTTAAAAAGTATCTGTTTATGCACATTTACAGTAGTTCCTTAGGGTTAATTTCCAACAACTACATTTCTTGATTAAAGTTTACGCAAATTTTAAAATTTGATAGTTTGGCATAGACACCTGAAAAAGTTCTATTAATTTATCCTACTACTAAAAGCAAATAAACATATCTATTTCCCTATAATCTGCAGAACTCTCAGGATTATCAATCTTTTTAATCCCCACTAATACATTATTTTTCAGACATGTTTTCTTTCATAAATTATCTGTGCATATGCTTTACCAATGTTTCTGTATATGTATTTTCTTATTTTTATGATTTCTCCATATTTTAAAGTATTAGCCTTCTAGCATATATACTGAAAAATTTTTCCTACAATCTCATTTGTCTTTTAAGTTTTATGTATGGCATCTTCTTATATACAAATATTTTTCAATTCTACAGTCATCGTTTTTTTCTCCTTGAATTTTCCATCGTTAAAGTCTCTACTACTTGTTATTTTCTAAACTTGAATATTTAATTTGTTGAGATTTATTTATTTTTAACTTTTTTAAAAATGGATTTGAGAGAGAGAGAGGAGGGGAGAAAGAGAGAGAAACATCAATTTGTTGTTCCATTTATTTAAGCATTCATCAGTTGCTTCCTGTATGTGCCCCTACTGGGGATCACACCCACAACCTTGGCATATTGAGATGACACTCTAACCAAATGAGCTACCTGGCCAGGGCTGGGATTTATTTTTTTGTGTGCTGTAAAATAGGGACTACCTTTATTTTTTCTAACTGAATCATCAATTAATCCAATACTATTTACAAAATGATTTCATTGTTTCCCCACTAATATAAAAATGCTAACATAATCATATACTGAATTTGCACATATACTGAGGTCTGTTTTGAAATACTAAACTTTTTTTTATTTCTGTAGTTTCTAATATATTTTCATATGCAAGAGGGACAGTTTCCCTTTATTTTATCCTTACAAATGAACTGGAGAATTAATATTGTCAAGGCCTAATATAATTTAATTGTTTTAGATTTCATAAAACATTTAAATTAGTTTTACTAGTTTATATACCTAGAAAGCATAGCCTATAGTCTGGTTATGTTGAAGGGAGAAACAGGAGATAAATGCATCAAAGCAGAGTAGACAGCATCTATTAAGTACCTAATTTGGGACAGGCCTTGTAATAAACTCTTTAGCTCAGTTAATCCTCAAAACACTGCAGTAAGATATTTATCTCTTCTTATTCTCATTTTGCAAACTAAAACACTGAGGTAATAAAATTAAGGTATTTTCTAAAGACACAGAAGGATTAAGTGATGGAATTGGGATTGAAACCCCGGACTCCTAAACCCAAATCCTGTATTCATAACCCAGTAGGATATACGGTGATTCAATTTTACTTTTATTGCAAATTTAAAATAAAATTTCGGCTTACCAAAATCTGAATTATTTCCTCAGGCCTTTTATCTTCAACTGGTATCCCATTTACCTCCCTAAGTTCATCACCAACATGAATCAGACCTGAGTAATAACAAATTTCAGTAGATCAGCAGTGTTACCCACAAAAGAAACTAATTTGCCATCGTGTCCACACTTAAAGCATTGTTTGCTTCCCTTAACAAATCTGAGGACTGGAAAGATCTTCATGCTTCTCTGGTTTCAGATTCCCTGTCTCTTCATATCAATGAATCAAAGACTATAAACAACATCATAATGCTGCAGAGAAATGACAATGGCATCTTGTGTCTAGAAATGCACATTATTTTCATCTTATAAAATAATTCTTACTTTTTTGAAAGGCTGCATGCTTTTAGTAGTACCTTTCAAGTTAGAAACACTGAAACAAGTCTTAGGGTAACTTGGAAGCCCATGCAAACTAGAAGAGTAGAGAGAGATTTCTTTCTCATTTATTAAAATAGGTTCCCACATGTTGACACAGAGGAAAATATCCTAGTTCTTGTTTTGTTGCATCACAACAAAAGATTATTATCCTCCTGGTTCTCTATTAAAAATATTACATATAAAATGCAACATTACTTGTCTACATTCACTTAACATTTAAACTCTTACCGCTTCGGTCTGCAGCCCCGCCTCTCATGATTCTCGCCACCACAATGGCCCCGGTCTGCTCATCCTTCTTAATGGTGGCTCCCTTTTAAGAAAAACAAAAATATGCTTGGGTAAATGTGTGTGTTGGGTGGTACAATGAGGGAGGAAGAAATAAGGAGATTTATCTGGAAAAAAATGAAAAAGCAACTACAAAAAAGTTAAAAGAATGAGGCCAAAGAAACAGACATCATACCCATGTGCCTTACAAGTGCTCATTACTAGGTACAGAATTTTCTACCATGCATATCATCTAAGGTTTAAAGAGCAAAATTTAAAGATTTTTGAGGTCTTCAACTTCTTCAACACCATGGAAAGTACAAATATTTTCTGTCCACTATAATACCTTGTATTTAAGTGCTATTTGTTTTTACTCTATTAAAGTATTTCCTCATTTCATTTCATCTTTAAAATACCCCACAAATCCCTGGCCAGATGGCTTAGTTAGTTGGAGCATCATCCCGCACACCACAAAGGCTGCAGGTTCAATCCCCAGGTAGGGCACATATCTAGGTTGCTGGTTCGATTCCCAGTTGGGGAACATACAGGAAGCAACGGATCAATGTTTCTCTCTCATATCAGTGTGGGTGTGTGTGCGTGTCTCTCTCTCACACTCACTCTCCCCACCCACTCTTTCTCTCTCTCCATCTTTCCCTCCCTCTCTCTATTCCTTCCTCCCTTCCTCTCTCTCTAAAATCAATAAAAATGTATCCTCAAGAGAAGATTTTAAAAATACCCCACAAAAAATGTAGACTACACAGAGAAAAGATAAAGTGAATAGAAAATGATTACATAAACTATAAAGCTCAGGTCATCTGACTTTTAGTTCAGTGGTCTTTCTATTACAATATTATAGTAAATGAACTCAGTGATGATAATAAATAAAACACATAAAACTCCAAAGTTAGTTTTATTTCTTACTCAAGGCTAATATAAACTAATGGAAGAAAGAACTTTTAGTCCACCGTTTTTATGGACTAGGATTGTTCCTAGTACAAACAGAGCTAACATTTTGGCGTAATATTAGGAAACAATTTCAAAAAGAATCCAGAAATTCTTCATTTATGGATGTTCAGAAGCAGATTAACTGAGTGTTGCTTTGTAAGAACATCAGGCTCAAAAGGTTACTTTGAACACCTTTTCATGACTTTCCCTTCCAAGAAACTGGCACCGGTTCAGTAAAGCCATTCTGTATTGCATCACAGGGCTTACAAAGCGCATTAGGTGGTGACAGAATTCACCCCAAAGAAGAAAGTAGAATTTTTCCCATGTGTTAATAAACACATTTGTATCACTAAAAAGTAGATATGTAAACAAAATTTAAAATCCATTTGTAGTAAGTATATTTTACATATGACGGCTATCAGAGACAAATCTCATAACAATAAAAATCAAATAATATGGTGATAGGAGGATTTTGTGGCATTTTTCATCACCTATACATGCATTCAAGCCAAAGACCTGAATAAGCATCTCTCCATGATCGTAAATTTTAGACTTACCAATTACTGGTATTTTCTGCTTTTAAACAGTTAACTTGTAGCCAAGATGACTGGAAATGTAATACTCTTAATAAAAATAATTAGTTTGGTTAGATCAACTTTCACTTCTCTTAACAATGTATCTCAAACTTTTCCACTCAAGCAAGCCTGAGAGTCTACTAATCTAATATCATGTATCCATACTTTACAGAGGAGAAATTGAATCTCAAATGGTTATAATTTGTCCAAAAATAGACAACTATTGTGCAGTGATGTTGGGACTTGTCTAAGGCAAATTAATCAGAATTGCTATTCTTGATCTTAATTACCATTCAATCCATTCACTCTGGGGCAACCTACTACCATATTTGTACTACGCCAGGTCCTAACCCCATTGGAATAAAAAGGAGGGTACTGGCTGACAGCAGGGTGCATGGAAAAACATCAGGTCATTTCATTAAACAACCCAAATGTTCCCTTACAAACCACTACTACCTTAAACCCGGCCATCCTACTCCTGGACTCAGAGAGAGGCTCAGACCTCCAACATGACTGCTTAGAAATTATTGACAAAGTTTATTCCAGCAGACCGTACCTACTGGACCAGCTGCTGACAGAACCTGGCTGGAGATTATATACAGATGGGAGCAGCGTCATGGAAAATGGTCAACAGCGAGGTAGTCACCACAAACAAGGTAACAGAAGCCCAGGCTCTTGCTGCAGGAACCTTGGCACAAAGGGCTCAACTGATAGCTCTCACCTTAGAATTATCCCAGGGACGGAATGTTAACTTCTACACTGACTATAAATATGCCTTCATGGTAGTCCATGCCCGTGGGGCAATATGGAAACAAAGAGGGCTCTTTACCTCAGGCAATATGGGTATCAAACAGGAACCTGAAGGAATAAGGATACCAAACACACCAAAGGTATTTTTAAATTGCTAGAGGCAGTGGATCTGCCGAACCAGGTTGCTATAATGCACCATCCAGGACACCAAAAGGGCAGCCCCCAAACAAGCCAGGGAAACCAATCTGTCGGTAAAGCAGCAAGACAAGCGCGGACGGCTGCCACTTCTTGCTCTTTAATTCCCCACCTAGACATAAAATTCCTTTAGGAAAGGAGCAGTACCTCCCAAAGCTAATTGACAACGTTACTTTTTAGTTTATTATTATTTTTTGACAGTTACTATACTTTATGCTCATGCTAGCACTTACGGCACCTTTGAATTGATCAAAATAAAAATATATTTCATATGGCAGATGCACAGAATCCACCAAGAATTACTTTATGGTGCTAGGCCCTGAGATAGCTCTTTGTACATCCAATGTGAGTACCACCTATTCTTACTATATTACTTCAAAAATATAAACCATGAGCTTTTTAAGTTACCAGCATAGAGTTGTGCTGTTGTGTTTTCTTTCTTAAGATTTTATTTATTTCTTTAGAGAGAGGAAAGGAGGAAGAAAGAAGAGAAAAACATCAATGTGTGAGAGATATACACATCAGTTGCCTCTCACACACCCCCAACTGGGGACGTGGCCTGAAACCCAGGCACGTGCCATGACTGGGAATCAAACAGGTGACTCTTCAGTTCACAGACCACTCAATCCACTGAGCCACACCAGCCAGGGCACCAGCATAGAGTTATAATCACAGATGAAAAGCAGGAAAGTACAACCTAAATTAAACAATCTTAACTAGGAACGCAGGGGGCCTAGGATATCCATGGATGAACTTTGGGGGCTCTATAAATCCCTTTACATAATATCCAAGTTTATATGTACATTTTTCCGTGCACGAGTGTCCAATACATTTATCAATATACCAATGTTGACCTTAAACAAGAGAAAAAAGTAACCAAAGGGGAAAAGTGTAAAGACACAATATGTCATAGAAGAAAAAAATAGTATTTAAAAATAAAGAGCCAAGTTTGCATCTTGATTCTACCACCCTTTAGCTGCCATACCTTGGGTAAGTGGCTTCATTTCTCTGAATATTAGTTTGCTGGCCTGTAAAAAGAAAAGCTATGATCCTCATACCAATTATGAGGAAAGGATGTAATGTATGTAAAATACTTAACATAGAACCCAGCAACTATTATGTTATCAATTGCTATTTGCTTTAAAAACACAGAAATGCCTTAATTAGAAAAAAACATTTAAAAATCAAATACTAGATGATGAAATTTATTTTTCTTTTGAATGTGGTTTTATAAAAATAGGGATACACTTTGTATTTATTTCCTATGGCTGCTATAATAAATGACCACCAATTTAGTGGCTTAAAACAATACAAAGGCCAAAATGGATATTACAGGGCTAAAAAGTTGTCAGCAAGGCTGCATTCTTCTGGAGGATCTAAGAGAAAATCTGGTCCTTGCCTTTCCTATTTTCTAGAAGCTTCTGTCATTCCTGGCTCACAGCCACATCACTCCAACCTCTGCTTCCATCATAGCACCCCCTTCTGTTCTCTGAGGGCCCTCCTGCCGCCTTCTCTTACTTTAATACGAACCCTTGTGATAAGATCGGGACCACCAAATAATCCAGAATAATCTCCCCATTCAAAACCCTGAACTAACCATGGAAAGTGCCTTTTGCATGTAAGGTGGCATAGTCACAGGTTCTGAGGTTTAGGACATGACATCACTGTGGACTGAGGGTGGGGGATATTATTTTGCCTACCATAGACCTCTTGACATAATTCGTCATTATATAAATTCTGGTGCTAAAATAAATGCTTATATTTATATTTTTAAACATCAAACACTTGAATAACTTCTCCTCCTTACTTTAAAATAAATCAGCTTTCTAGAAAAGCCATAAGCAATTATTTTTAGTTGCACCATTTAATCTCAAATCATCTGTGACTGGTGCATGTTATGCTTTCTTTTATAAATGTCAACAATTCATATTTTAAAATTATTACTATTTATAACCAACAGAATGCCTGTCATTTCATTTGCCTTCATTTTCATTTTCCTAAATCATATTCTTTAGACATAAATGTTCCATTTATTTGAAATTCAGTTTAAGGGCACAGAGAAAGTATATTTTAAAGAGAAGAATATATGGAATGTCCCCATCAGATGTGGCTTTACTATGATATCTACTTATATCTGGGCACCACATGTAGACAAAAACTTACCAGTGGTTCTCTATTTTTGACCAGGCGGATGATTTTTACTGAATCTTCCTCATCATCAATATCATCAGGCATAGGAGGCAATACTGGATCGTAATTCTTCTGAGCCACAGTGTCATGCACAGAGAGCAAAGCCTAGCAAAGTCCAAGGTTGATTAAAAAATTAATCAAATATAAAACCCCAAACCCATAAAGCTATAAAGAAAAAGAAATTGGCGTTATAATTTTGATGTAACAATGGTAATAAGGCAACTACTTGAAAAGGAGCCTCTCACAAACAAGAACCATGTAAAAGAGCAAAAGGCATGTCCATTTAGCTACCAGCCTGTCCCCAATGACATAAATATATGACAAGAATCAGCCTAAAACATTTTCTAGTCTGTATATTCTCTGGTTCGCCCTTACAAGGATGGCAGTTGGGGGCAGGCATGGGGAAGTGTTCTTTTGAAAGAAGGGAGAAAAGACTATAGATATACTGTTAATGAAACAACAGGAGTCTGAGACAACTATACACTTTTTCTTTCCTACTATTACCAGGAAACACAAAAAGAACTGATCAATACAATTGTTTAGTTTTCATTCTTTTGTTTTCTCTTTAAGTTTTAGTGTAATAGATGACTAGTATGTGTAGAAAAGGATAAAATGTTAAGTATTTCTAGTCTTGACAATTATGGTGATAAGATGCCAAAAAACACTGTCACATTGTCCTTGTAAGACCAAAGATGAGAAAACCATTGTAACCCTTACAAGTCATTACTCAGTATTTCAGGTGAGCAGGCCTAGACTTTTAACTAACTTGTTCCCTACCAGCAATGCCATGGTCATAAATTTCTCTACTCAGAAGCCTAGAAATCAACCTTGAAATCTCTTCTCTCATCTACACTTCCAACATCCAATCCATATCCTGTTAAATCTACTTCCAAAATGTATGCTAACATTTGTTATCTTCTCTCTAGACCAAATTTGGCAAACTATGCCACCTGCTTCTGTAAATGGAGCTGTTGGAACACAGCTCATTCATTTATGTGTCCTTGATAGCCATTCTCACGCTCCAACAGCAACAGTGAGTAGAAACAACAGGTACTTTTTATATAAAAATTCAGCAGACTCCTGCGCTTGGATCACTGATGACATCACTTTTTTACCTGGAGTATTGCAGTAGCTTTGAAATAGTCCAACTGCATTCACCTTTGGCTCATTTTCAGAGCCATGACTCACAGTGTAGCCAAAGTAATTATTTTATTTATTTTTAGAGAGACAGGGAAGGGAGGGAGGAAGAGAGGAAGAGAAACATCAACATGTGAGATGTGTGAGAGATACATCAACCAGGCGACTGGGACCCAGTCAACACCATGGGCATGTGCCCTAATCAGGAATCAAACCACCAACCTTTTGGGTCGCAGGCCGGCGCTCAATCCACTGAGCCCCACCAGTCAGGGCAAAGTAATTATTTTAAAACAGATCAAATCACATAACAAGCCTGCTACCCACTGATCTTGGGATGAAGATCAAACTCTTGAGCATGTCCCAGTCTTACATTCCTCTCTAATCTTACCTTATCCTCTTCTCCCACAGTTCAAATAACTCTTTCTCAGAAAGACCTGGCCAAACAATCCAATACAGACGCAGATCCCCCTTCAGTAGCTTGATTTTTACAGTACCTCCTTTGCCTTTATACATGTTCATAACTTACAACCATACATGCATATGTTTAACATTTGCTAGCTACTGAAATAGAAGTGCAAAGACAGCAAAGAAATGGTGTCTATTTATTAAGCTTTTTTATTGACTCTAACATACACATAGTAAAGTACACAACTTGTAAGCATATAGCAGAAATTTTCAAAAATTAATATTCCCATGTAAATATCCCCAAAACAGGGAATACAGCTCTAACTGAACCCCAGAATCCCTCAATTATGCTCCTAATTACCCTGGCCTCTAGTCCCTTGAAGGTGGTAGTTTTGCCTCTATTTAAATACTGCATAAGTATTTATAGAATTATAAGTGCATATTCATTTTGCCCCAAGAGTAAATTGTTGAGATTCATCCATGCTGCTACTGGTAACAGCAGTCATTCATTTTTCATTGCTATGTAGCATTACAACATATGAATACTTCCACAGTTTCTTTATCCATGAAGCCTGTAATTGACAGGCATTTAGATTGTTTCCATTTCCTGACTATCATAAACAATGCTGTTATAAATATTTCATGTCTTTTGACACATATATGTGTATTTGTATGTATAATTTGGTTAAGTATATTAAAGAGTGGAATCTCTAGGTCATGAATTATAAGTACAGTCAACATTCGTAGATGAAGTTTTCCCAATTATAACCTCACGAACAGCTTATGCAAGTTCTAGATGCATCACATAATTCCCACATTTTATGTTATTAGTTTAAATTTGGCCATTTTGTGTGTGCATGGGTATCTTCTTGTGGTTAAAATTTCATTTTTCTTACAGCTAGTGATAATGAAAACCTTTCCTTATGTTTTCTCGGATATGAGTATCATCTTTTGTGGGATGCTGGTTCACAATTATTATACATTTTTCTATTCCATACTTTTCTTATTAATTGTAAGAATTCTGTTGGATATGCATGATACAAATATATCTTCCCATGTGGTAACCGGCACTTTCACTTTTGTATTAGTGTTTTTTGATGCACAGAGGATGCTAATTTTAATGAGCCTAATTAATATTTTTTCCTTTATGGTTGGAGCTTTTTGTAGCAAATCAGAGTTTCAAAGGGAAAGAATTAACAGCATCAAGATAATGAAATATCCAAAGAGACAATGATGGCAAATATTTGAAGAATGATAAGAGACAGGGTCTGAATATTCAGGAAGCCCAATATATCCTTTATTAACCAGGAAAAATAAAAAGAAACCCAGGCTTGTATACATCATAGTGAAACAGCATAATGCCAAAGACAAAGAGAAGATCTTCAAAACATCACAGAGAAAAAAGATCATCACAAAGGAAAAAAAATTTGATTGAGAGCGGATTGATCAGCAGCAGTAATGGAAACTAGAAAATTATTAAAATACCTTGAAAGAACTTAGAAAAAAATAATAGCCAGCCCAGAATTATATAACCAGCAAAAGTATCATTCAAGAATGAGGATGTGGGCCAAGATGAAGTTAACAGAGATCTACTAGAAAAAAATTTAAATAAAAAAGGATAATGCAACAATGGCTTTCAAAGACACTGGATAGAGGAAGGATAGTTACCACTGAGAGACAAGAAACAAACATGAGCCCTAGGAATGCTGCAGGTTAGTACCTAGAGAGAGTTTCCTGACTGTGTTGGGAGAAGAAGCCAGGCAGGACTCAGTGGTCTCCCAAGGTTGAGAACATGGAGCTGGGAACCCAGGGAGGTTAAGGGTTAAAATTTTCAGGGAAGAGTATGGGAGAGAAGAGAACTGCGCAGAGATAGAGCTCTGAAGATCTGCAGGAGGTTAGCCCAAAGCCTTTAGCCAAGTACTTAGCCAAGGCTTGCATAAAATAAAACTATGAGAAAGGACAGAGCAGTAGTTCTTAACTGGGGGCATTTTTACTCCCCTGGGGTCATTTGGAAGTATTTAGAGATACAGCCATACCTCGGTACTCATCAGCTTCAGAACGCATCAAACCCTGTACTCACAACATTTCAATGAGAAAAAAATGTTTCAGCACTCGGTGCTTGTCCAGGACTCATCACACTTGCTAGAACTTATAAGAATCAACCACCTGCAATAGAAAATGCTTCATCACTCGTTGCTTGCTGGTACTCATGGGTTTCAGCACTCGTCATGAGTTCCGGAACAAATTAACAATGAGTACTGAAGTACCACTGTATTTTTGATTTGTCACAATTTGGAGGATGCTACTGACATCTAGTGCACAGAGGCCAGGGATAATTCTAATCACCTAATAGCATGTAGGAAAGTCCCTTCTCCCAACAAATAATTATCCAACCCCCCAAAGTAGGTTTCCCCCTATATCCCAAAGTAGGGCATTCCTGTGAAAACTTTTATAAGCCTAAACAGCATAAAAAAATGCCAACTGCCACTAGTTGCTATAAAAAAAACTGATGAGTGTTCCCACACCCCAAAAATAACTATCCAAAATGAAATACAAAGATAAAATATAGTGAAAAACTGTGAAAAGAACATTATTGGCCTGTAGGACAATTTCAATGGCCTAACATTTATGCATAATTGGCATCTCCAAAGAAAGAAGGGGTGCTAAAAAATATCTGAAGAAATACAGCAGCAAATACTGCAGACTTGAGGAAAAAAGCAACATGTTCAAGAAGCTCAATGCATCTAACCACACGAAACATAAAAGAAGTAATACCAAATTACTTAAAACAAGTGATAAAGAGGAAATTTGAAAGTCATCCAAAGGAAAAGAGGACATTATCCATAAAAGAGAAAAAGATTAAAATGACAACATTTCTCATCAGAAACAATGTAAGTTTCAAGACAATGGAGCAACATCTAGAAAATACCCAAAGAAAAATATTGTCAACCTAAAATTCTATACCTAGTAAAAAAAAAAAAAAAAAAAACACAAAAAACAAACCTTTAAGAAATGAAGGGATATTGAAGACTTTTTAGATACACAAAAGCTGAAGAAATTCACCAGCAGATTTGTATTCTAAAAAAAAAGTATAATAAATCTTTCAGCCAGGAAGAATGACAGCAGATAGGACTATGGATCCATTCAGAGGAATGAAGAACACCAGAAATACCCACCATCTAGGTATCTATGTTAACTATCTTACATATACACAGTAAAAATAATAGAGATAGCTAATGAACATATTTTAAAATAAAGTGATTATTATATCATTAGGCAATAATAAGAACACCAGCTATGTTCTTTTTTAGTTTTGTATTGATTTCCATGTTTGGATTCCAAAATACACTTTTAAGATTTGTAGATATCAAGTTTCTAATTTTTAGTAGCTTTGTTTTATAACTGTTTTTGGTTAAATGACATTTCTGTTTTGGACAACTAAAAGTAACCTTGTAGTCCATTTTCCTATTTTATCTGTGGTAACCTTATCCTTCACTATTTTAAGATTTTCCTTTCAAAAGGCAATACCTAAATGAAAATTGTGTTTCCATGGGCCATAACTA